GTCGTAAAGAGATTCTAATTGAAAAGAACGATCAACAGCTTTGTTAAGTAATAAAGAAGAAGTTGCTAATCCAAGAGCTGTCAATGCAGAGCCAATAATATTCTGCGTATCAACAAAGTGTGAATCGCGCTTCTTAGCTTTCTCCGGAAGAATGTGAGTTAGCTCTTCATTAATTTTTTGCGCCTTTAAACATTGAATTGCCTCATACTTTTCAAGTAGTTTGTCGCATGAATTTTTGTCAAGACCTTGGCATAACCAAGACAGCCATCTTACTGTAAGGTCAGGATGAACGTCGTTCCTTGGCGGAGGAGTTTTACTAGGATCATCGCCCAAGATATTCCGTGCAATCTCGTCCAAGTTGTCTGCCGTTGTATTTGCAGAACCCGATTGTACTCTGGCTTCTTGTGTTTCTTGAGCGGAAACTGTGTTTCCCCCATTAGAATTTTGACTTTCAATTTCTGAAAACGAGACGATTTTCCAATGAGCTCTAATATGTTTGACATCTCGTGCAAATCATTAGGCATGAAATCATCAGCAATTGCCTCACCTCTCATGTGAGATCCGCTGCGATTATTTATAATTGGTACGATCAAAGGCGTATTTTCCCTCACATCATCAGGCGACGGCGGAGGGGGCGTATGGCTCGAACGTTGACTGCTAACACTCCCAGAAGTCGATCGACGTCGGTGACGACCGCTTACACTTCGAGAAGGCGAGCGTAGCCGACGAAGTTTATTCGATCTTTTTGAGCGCGAGCGCTCATGTCGGTAACGATGACTGCTCGATCTCCGTGAACGCGAACGCTAACTACGACGATGGTTATGCTTGCTGTTACCTCGTGAAGAAGGTTATTTGTCAGCAGCTAGGAGCATGAGCATCGGGAACTTCTGGTTGTCTTTTGTTTTTTCTCTCTTTAAATAATCGTGGTTGTCCATCGTAATTCGATGTACTACATATCAATCACTCAAACAAGGATTGAAATATAATACCATACATACAGACCTCTAGCCACCCGCGTCCAGCTACGAACTCATACGCAACTTCAAACACGTTTTTCTCGAAAATATGAAAAATGGAGTTGGTCGGTTCTCCCTTTCCACCACAGATATAATTTATGAAATATTTAACTTTAGGGAATTACGTTTGAATCGGTACATATTGCCTAGGCAAAAGCAGAAATGCCTATAATTTTAGGAATTAACCGAAATGCCATTCAAATTATAGGAAATTCCTAAACAATTTAGACAAAACCCGAAATGACTGAACATTTTTAGACAGAACAAGTAATGCCTAACCGATTTTAGGCATTTTCGTGTAGCCCCCTTGGAAACGTCGGTGTGTCGTGATATTATCGACATAAACACTACGTAGTACTGATAAAATTTGAGTGTCCCCTTTGTAAGCAACGAATTTTCGCTGCTGGCTAATTAACTTTTATTATCGAATAATATATTTGGGTTTATTTTTAAGCATTATGAAAAGCAAAATTTATTTTTGTTAAAACTCAGCTCTTCGGTTCGAATTTATAAATTTATAAATCAAGATTAATATCAAAATATTTATCGCTCGTTCATTTTCCTGTCTAAGGGTTATAATTTAAATGAATGATACAATACGATTAAATTAAAATCCAAACCAGCCCGTTCTCTCAGTGAGCTTCATGCACAGTAGAACTATTTTTTAAATTTCACATTTCTTCGCTATGAAATTGTCAATAATATGCAAAACTCCTCAGGCTATTTAGTCCATCTCTATTTTATACAAGAGAATTTACAAGAGGATTTAAAAAAACTATTTATTAACTCAAAGCCTAATTACAGTCCAATATGCAATTAGTGTGTATACGCCATACCCTATTTAACACGGAAAATTTTCCGCGAAATTTTTCAAACGCCTCTCTGAAAATGATGGAAAATGAACAACCTCGAATATCCCAACTGCACGATAGAAAAAATCCCGGATACTTTCCGCGTATATTCAGGTGAGCTCTATGCTAGTGCTCGAACGTTGATTAAAATTGTTTCGTCCAGAGTTGAAAATTTCCGTACACCCGTAGTAATTGCCTCTGCCTTCATGCTCGTATTATAAACTTTAACGCACGCGCGTGTACAGACGTATGTAGTATATGCCCGCGCGCACCATGCTTATCAGCTCAATTCAATCGGAAGACGAGAAAATGCCGGCACAAAGCGAAAGTTTAGACCCATGTGCGATAGAAAATATGTGTGAGTGTATGTGTGTGTGTGTGTGTGCACGCCATGTACACATATGTATAATAATAGTCCGAAACGTTTATCAGCTCTGCTGTGCTCGGAGGTCTTGCATACATACGTATACACTTTACCGTTAATCCGTGCGCGCATTGCGCGCAAAAAGTCATTGGCCTATCGCGGGGCTCGTTGCGTTGATGCCACTTCATATAGACGAACAAAGCATTGGTCCTTATTCTCTCTTCATCTCGCTCTCTCTCTTCTCCTCTCTCTCTGTCTCTCTCTCTCTCTCTCTCTCTCTATCTTTTATTCAAATTTTCCGGTTCAATTTCCTCGTACGCTTCGGCTTGCACTGCTCCGCGAGTGCCGCAAAGTGTACGCAGGGCACTACTGTATCTCGCAGGCATAACTCCGCGCGAGTTCATCACGTATCATACGTGCGGCACGACTGGTGGGTGCAATTTCTCTCGTGTAATATTATATATATCTCTCTCTATGTTCTTCTCATTTCCCTTGAAATGTAACTGTTGATTCGAACCTAGATCAGTGCACTTGACATTCTTTGGCACATTTTACAACCAGATCATAGCGCTTGGTATCACCATGCCTGAACTTATGCAATTACTTTTACTTAGACGCTTGCAGATTTACAGATAATGGTATTCGCCATCTAGCGGGGAAGACTGGGTTTAATTATAATTGAATTTTCATACTTTTTTGACAATGAATACGAAAAATAAATCAGAATTAAAACGTTAATTTTCAATCAAAATTTCCAAATTGGATTATAGGCATTTGATTATATTTGATTATAGCTCATTTTTACAATAAAAATAAAGTTTTTGATCGGATTTACATACAATTGTTTGCAGTTTTTATATAAAAAAAAAATAAATAAATAATAACTGATACATTAATTTTTAACGAAAATTTTATGTAAAATTACCTAAAATACAGTTCAATACTGGTTACTTAAGATTTAATGTCTCATTTTACATTAAATCATCATTTGATTCGAGGATTTATTAATGGTATTATAAATTGGTAAATTCAGCTTTAGACAAAGCTCATTACGCAGATGGTGAATGCATAGATTAGTTACAAATGTTTTGATGAGCTAACCATTCACTTTTTTGTAATTCACAAAGTAAGACTCCGCTTAGACGCTGAATTTTAACCGAAAACACTTTTATTAATACGCGTTTATGAAATAAATTTGAAGAATCAATCGAATGAGAAATGTTTATTAAAACCTGGACGACCTGGGTCTGTTTTTTAAAATAATTTTTATTATGACTGAACAAAATAGAGATGATACTTTCTTTAACAAAATTTCCTTCAATGATAAATTAACTACATAGCGCTTCACACATCCTCCTTCAAGTTTAAATACTAGCGAGCACTACTTCAGAGCAGGATAACTCGGAAACGGGAAAGTTTGTGCATCGTAAACGTCTGCGTTAGGATTAAAGTGAGGACAATGAACTAACCTTTGGCCTTTTTCGTCGGTTTTGTTTACGTATTTGCATCCCCACCAATCTGACTCCCACAATCCCTAAAAAAATGTAATAAAATTATATCACTGTTAGTAAACAAAGAAGTCGAGATGATTATACCAAGACTCGCGGTATCCTTTTTCCCGAGCTAAGGTGAGAAGCAACTAGTAACAAGCCGACCATAAAAAATAGTTTTACACAAAACAGAGCCATTTCTGATCCTTTGACTCAGCGATATTTGTTTGCACTTCCAACTTTGCGTTTCAATTTATACGATTTCTCTGCTACAATTTAATGTTCACTTGTATGATAAGCTTTTGACTCACTCGTTAATATCGGTGATTTTATGTTTAAGCCCAATTTGATTGCATAATCAAATGGCATTACGTTTGCAGTTAAATTATGCATCAACAAAATCTCATTTCTTTAAAGGGTTCTCCGTTCAAATAGTTGAATTAAAATTGATAAGAATCAGTTGAGTTAGTTTCAAAAGATTTTCCATTTGTGAAATATTATCTCCAGTGTACAAAAATATATTAAAATCCTTTTTCGTCATGTACATACGCAGATGAGTAATTATGTAAATAACAGGCTCAAAAGTACGTTTTTCCATAGCAAGTATTTTGAAAGTAACCGCAAATCTAAAAAATCAAAAGTTATCTGAGCATTGGCGATAATTAAAATTCATTGAAAAGATTAAAGAAAAAAAATAGTATACGTTGCCAGAAAATTTAACATTTTTTGTGTTAAATACGCAAACGTCAAACGTTTGAACGATAAAATTGTCTTTAATTAAAATAATAAATCTAGATTAATTCATATTAAATAACAAGAATTTAAAATGAATAAATTCTTTTTCTTTTCATAACAACTTAACAATAAAGTTTTACCCTGCTTAGTAACTCAGCTCTGCAGGGACGTGTGCGAGTTTGGGTGCTTTTCTATTTATCCGATTCTCAGTTTAAGCATAAGCTCGATTATGAGTTTGTAACAAACAAATAAGCAAACTTGAAAGTGCATAAGCTACACTTGTCTTGACGATTCATGTACTTATTTCTACAGAAGCAGAGTCTAAACTATTTTAATGATTTCGATCGAATGATATGGAAAAAATAAAGTACAATCGCTAAATTATAAATATATAAATTAACTATCACCTTTTCTGATAGTCCAATATTACTAATTATGAGATACAGATGTACAAAATCACAATGTTTTATCACTCGGAGAAAATGTCAATTGAATTATATCAAGTCACATGTCTGTAATTCGCCGCTATTACTAGTACTGACTGTTATTCAGACTCATTTAGTCCACTTTTGAAAGTCTTGTATTTCCTTTCGTAAAATGGCCGACAATCAATGAAGTTATCCTTAAAATTTGCACTAAAGTAATAGTGAAAATAAACACTATTCAAAGAGCACGTTACGCTAAACCATTTTATTATTCGCATAATATTTTCAAAGTAGTTTTTCCAGTAGGAATCAATTATGTCGCTCGGTAACGACAATCTTAAGGTCAGCCAAATAAAGTTAGGCAACCAGCTGATTAAAAATATTACCGAGATGATTGTATATCTTTTTGTGACCTATTGAAAACAATATTAAAAATCATTCATCAAATAATCAGCTACTTATTTACCAGAATTAGATTCGAAAAAACAATAAATAAACGCTTATTTACCTTTTTTCTTCTTTGTAATTTTCTGATTTGCGTATCGTTCATTTCGCCTATGCACAGCAGCTCTTTTTGTTTGGCCCTGATGCGAAAGTAGCAAAAGATCATTATGCATATTGGTACTGAAAACACCAATGTAGTCCACGCACAACAGATGGCAAACCTAAGCGAATTTTCCTTTATCATTAGTGCTGATTTTTAAGTACGAAAAAACTGTACTATTCTCAATGATTTTTACCATCTATCAATTTTTTCAGGATCATTAATGCATACACTGTGAACAACAATTAGATCTAATTTTATTTTACGAGAAAACCAGAATGTAGGCAGGGATGATATTATGCTTATAATCCACAAGGCCAAGTTAAAACTTAAAATTTTGTTTTTACTCAACCACCGAGGCATTGGAATCGTGACCGCCTTGTATCTAAAAATTTTTTTCGATAGATTCAATCATAATGTAACAACAACAAGAAAAATATTTTTTTTGTACTTACCGTTCGATTGCTATAAACATGGCTGTATAGATACTTGCTACCATGTGCCAATTTTTGACAAATTTATGAATTGGACAAAACTCATCAAACATCGAATCATACGTGTAAATAATTTGTAAAATATTACAAAGAAGCTGAAAGGTATTGATGCAGCATAAATTAAAAACTAAGCTATTAATTAATTTATTTTTCCCATTTTTACGAATCAAAATGTTGTAAAAGATAATAACATTGACGGCTACAGCCAAGGCCATCGAAAAATGGTAAAAAACAATCCAAATTGTCTCGCCTTTCATAATTTATAACGGTGATCTTGGTAAATACTCTCTAGCATGTTTTCTATAATTAGAAGAAAATCTGTTTTAAAAAATTGCATGCTGCGATATTTGCATAAATATATCTCAGAAAAAATTGCGGACCTTCAATAAATCATGGAATAAAATGCATACGCAAAAAATGTATACTATTCTTTTGCAAACATATACATTTTACGAGTGATGACATTACTCTGACTTGAATCGTTATGATGTAAAATTAAATATCAAAATTTCTTAGATATAAAAAACTACTATTTATATTAAAATTAATAAATTAATGAGAATTCTATGACTATATTAATTTTAAAACGCTTTTTAAGTATACTTTCAGCTTTAAATTCAAGTTTCTTTTCAGCTTTCTCAATTACTTCGTGATTCAAAAAATTTTCAAGAAATATATAATCTTACTTGATTAAAAAATTCGGTTGAAAGACGGTTAGAAAAGTATGCTCTCTCATCAGATGTCATCAGAGTCTCATCAGAAACTGCCTGTATGAATCAAACACATCGTTCTTACTTGAAACGATAAACATTAAACGATTTTTTTTGACGTATCCGCTTTACAACTGTATTATGAATAAAACCACAAATGATTTCTCAGCACTGCGCAAAAAAAGACCAATCGCGTAGTTTTTAACTCACTCAATGGACATAAAATCGTCTCTTCAAGCTATTTATCGCAAAAAGTGTACGTGTTTTTATTCTGTACACGAACATAAACCAATAAATAGCCTCAACATACTTTTTGTCCACTTTCGAATAGTTCTCTTAGTTTTCCGAAATAAATATTTTTTTAAATTTCAAAATTTTGATCATTCTGTGAGATACAGCTGTTTTCGTGAGCTATTTTCGCATACTTAGCGTGTTAAATTTTTTCTTCACTTGCGTTTTCTGGCGTTTTACGTTTTTATAAAATGCACCTCAGTTGTCGTAACATTCAGAGCCTACCGATTGTGTGACAGCCTCGGGGTCACGTACACTTCTTCAGAACATCAATGGTTACGGTCACAACCTCGGGCGAAGTGATCGAACTCATAGGTCACTATCAATCAGTAGATTCATGATGGAGGTCACAAAAAAAACGTAAAATGAAAAAAAAATTTTGCTTCGTTGTTTGTGAATGATCAAAATTTAGAAATTTAAAAAAATGTAATGGTGGATAGTTTACAAAAAATCCTACTTGAAAATGAAATAAAATTTTTTTCGATTTCAATCCCCCTTTGAGCCCTTAAAAAAAAAGAAAAAAATATTATTGATTATCGATTAATTCATCAAGTTTGTAATATCAAATCAATCATTCGAGCACATTCCTCAGTTGTCCTCTGGGTCTGATAAATTGATAAAAAAAATCGTTTGTGCTGCAGCGTTACCGTCGTCGTCGTTGCCTGCGAGTGCGTGTCACGCGCATCTCACGCGCGGCATGTATCCGTTGCGTGAAGTTTACGCAATAAGTCGACAACAACCTCGGCTCGGCGCATCTTGTGTACGGGCACAAACTCGAAACTTTTGTTGGTTCAAAGCTTCCCTCGTTATAACCCCAGCAGCACCATATATATACGTATACAGAGAGCACCAGAAGTTGATGAAACTTGTTGCGTTACACAGGCAGTGGCACTGCGCGCCGTACGCACGCGTGTATTTTCCATTTTGAAATTCATTGTTGAAATTCGAGTAATGCGCCGTTCGACGTAAATTCTTTAATAAACATCCTTTTACAAAGACTGTCGATCTCTGATGTCAAAGTGAAATCACATGTCATTTATTTTCAACACAATTGATAATAACGCATGTAATACATTTCTGTGTGTCTAAATAAGGTATAATTGGTGCATACTTGGTACATATAATTTTATTTAAAAATTATAAAACATAATTAACACGATTAAATAAATAAACTAAGAATGATGATACGCAGAGATGAATTAAGAAAAGAGCCACCTCCACGCAAACTTTTATTTATCACTCATGCCAGTCATCAATTAAAATATTACATGGTTTTCAAGTTGGTTTTTTCGGTAAGAACGCACGGTTATTACATTGTTAGCAGAAATAATCAAAAATAATCCTCTCTAATTCAGGATCGCGTTCATATTACGTGAGGTTTAACAAAAATCCAGTATCAAATAATATGTGAAAAAAAACTCTGGGCTGATCGTTGCTAAAAACACTACTGTAATAGTGAACAAAGGTGTAATGATAGTATGTAGCACGTGAATTTTACGTTAGATTCAATCATTTTGGCACGATTTTTATTGAAATTTTAAAAAAAGAACCGTATAAATGTCCATACATATTAAGAATTGTCAATCATCATTTCTTCTCGCGATTGCGTCACGCGTAATCTTTGCGATTTTCATGAACTTCCTTTTGGTGCCGAAGCAAATGCTGTTTAAGTCCAAATTTTTTTGCGCACTTGTCGCACGAATAATCAAGAAGACCTTCGTGTACTGTCTTTTGGTGTTGAGTCAAATTAGTTTTATATCCAAATTTCTTATCGCAATTGTGGCATGGGTAATCTTTGCTACCTTCGTGTACTGTCTTTAGGTGTTGAGTCAAATTAGTTTTATATCCAAATTTCTTATCGCAATTGTGGCATGCGTAATCTTTGCTACCTTCGTGTACTGCCTTTTGATGCCGAAACAAAACGATTTTTAGGCCAAATTTTTTCTCGCACTTGTCGCACGCGAAATCTTTACGCCTTTCGTGCACTGTCTTTTGGTGGATGACCAAATTCGATTTTTGTCCAAATTTCTTCTCACATTTGTCGCATGTGTAATCTTTGCGACCATCGTGAACAGTCTTCTGGTGCAAGAGCAAACCAGATTTATTTCCAAATACCTTTTTGCAATGGTCACATACATAATCTTTGTGACCTTCATGGACTATCGATATGTGCAAAGGCAAAAGCCATTTTCTCCCAAATCTTTTCTCGCACTTATCGCATGCATAATCTTTACGATCTTCATGAACTGTCTTTTGGTGCAAGAGCAAATGATGTTTATGTCCGAACGTCTTCTCGCAATTGGCGCATGCGTAATCTTTGCGATCTTCGTGGACTACTTTTTGGTGCCGAAACAAACTGTCTTTTCGTCCAAATTTCTTCCCACAGCTGTCGCATGCGAAATCATTCCGATCTTTGTGTATTGTTCTATGGTGGAAGAGCAAATTGCATTTAAGCCCGAATTTTTTTTCACATTTGTCGCATGCGTATTCTTTGCAACTTTTGTTTACTGTCTTTTGGTGTCTTATAATATTGCTTTTATCTCCAAATTTCTTCTCGCGCCCATGATATACGAGTTTTTTGTGGCTGTCGTGTACCGTCTTTATGTGCACGAGCAAACTCTGCTTCTTTCCAAATCTCTTCGCGCACATTTCACATAAGTGATCCTTGAAAACTTCGTGAAATATTTTCTTGTGCTTGAGTAAAGTTAATTTATTTTGAAATTTCCTCTCACACTTGTTACATGTGAAAGCTTCGCGATCTTTGTGGACTAATTTTTGATGCGTTAACAAACTCGATTTTTTCACAAATTTTTTCTCGCAATGATCACATGCAAAATCTTTGCGACTTTTGTGTTCTGATATTCGGTGTCTACTCAGATGACTTCGAAACTTAAATTTTTTTTCGCACTTGTCGCACGAGTAATGTTTTTGTTCATTGTGAATCGTGTATTGGTGTACTATCGTGCCTAATTCTGGTGTAAATGCCTGCTGGCAAATATCACCAATCTTTTGTTTGTCGTCCAAAACAACCATGTCGTGTTCAATTAAATTTTTTCTCGAGACCACTTCTTCGGTTCTCTCATCATTTTTATCCATTTTGGTATCGAAATTGAACGATGGATTCTTCTATTTAGTGTCCCAGAAATTGAATGAGTCAAATTTATCTTTTCGTATTCAGGCCTGTTCCATCGGAAAAGACAACATTAAAACTAATTTGTTTTTACTGTATAGCACGATCAGTGCGTCTAGGGATTGTATCAAAGTCGTTTATGATTACATTGTTTACAATCTAGGTACCGATTTATCTGTTCACATATTTGGCTTACAATATTTGAACCAGTTTGTAATTCAAACTTGGTGGCAATTTCTTCGGATAATTATTTGGCCTTCTAAAATTAAATACTTCAATAAAGCTTCCTGTGACATCGAGTTATATTATAAAAAATATCAATTTTGATTCCAAACTTTTCCGCCCCACGCCATGGACCATGGTGGGCTTGGAGTATTCCAAACCCTCCATTGATGATACGAACGAATAACATTACTTTCATTAATAAGTTATAGATAAGTTGTTAAAGATATACACTACTCACTTCAAATATTAAGAAAAAGAAAAATCAAGAAAAGCCTAGTTCAATTAATCGTGTTATTTGTTAACTTTTTAAAGTGAGAAAAACCTATCGTTTCAAAAAAATAATAATCAATTTCAACAATTTTTGAGCCAACTGGTAATTTTTTTGGTGTAATTTTCCAAATAAGCTGATTATAGCTTTCGCTGTTGTTCTGTGTGAAACCACCTACTCAGCGCTCAAAAAGTTTATCAGAGCTCAGCTCTTCATAAATTGGTTTGATTGCAGCTAAAATATCATCTGGAATTGGTTGATAATCATGCTTGAATGTCTTCAGAGATTTTTCAGCAGAAGCACGTTTTCATGATGCGGTTGCACATTGTCAAATTTTTTTTTATTGAATTCTGTAACTTCAGGAATATTGCTCGGATTAACTTAAAAGTTTGTCACAATATTCTTAAGGACATTTACTTTCAAATAGAACAATAAAAAAAATTTCGATTTTTCGAAAATTACAAAGCTTATGTAACCCCTTAAGCAACGAAGATTTAAGTTGGATAC